TTTAATAATATCAATGTAAATATTAAATCAGTGTTTCAGTCAAACCGGATAAAAATTATTTTTTGTAACTTTTGCCAAAAAAAGGGATGTATTTTAGAATATACAAATAAATAAAATCTGATTTAGATTAGTTATGTGCTCAATGGAATTTATTTACGACTGATAAGATAAGTATGCCTTTTTTGTGACTAGGATCGAATTTGACAAGGATCATATTTAAGAACTGTCAGAATAATCTGTCATAGAACTGTTCTAAACTATCCTAGAGCAGTTCTACCCTAGAACTGTCTAAGTAGAACTATCAGAATCAGTTCTAGGGTAGAACTGTCTAAAACTGTTCTAGGTAGAACTGTCCAAAAACAGTTCTAGTCGTAGAACTGTCCAAAACAGTTCTAGTCGTAGAACTGTTAGCAGAACTGACCAAATCAGTTCTAACCGTAGAACTGTCAGCAGAATTCGAATTACGTTATACAGGGAATTATTTGTACAGATTTTCATCAAACTATTTTTAACAAATTCGGCAGGGTCAGCATATGATTTGCTTTATAAAATACAGACTCTATTCTGTGTATTGGATATTGTGTGACTCCAATATGGCCAAATCCAACCCGCCACTGTAAGGATTTGGCGGACGACTCTGCCTTAACCAATGAATGGTAGACAAAACAAGAGTAAGTCCAGGAGAAGGGAAATCATTCACAAAGAAACACGCGGGACAAGAATGTCACACATTGTCTTATAAACATAATTTTTTATTAGTTGTCAATGGCTTTGCACTAGCTGTCAATAACTGCGAATACTCTTAGATCTGTACTTTGTGTTTTTGTTGTTTTGAGGGATGTATAAATACCCTATCACGTCCGGTATGTATAAGTGTTAAAAGTTTGTGTGCTTTGTATCGATCTGATAAGTTAAGCCCTTTTCAAATAATTTCTAACCCCGCCACATTCTTAATGTGCCTGTCTAAAGTTAGTAGCTGGTAGTTTAGTGGTTGTCGTTGGTTCATATCTGTCATATTTGTTTTTCGTAAATGGTTTTGTTGCAATTTATCAGTCCTGCCGCTCCCCCAACCATTATAAAAGAGGCATGTTTTTCTAGATTTTAAAATAAGCTCGGGATACAAAATCGGTACCCTACAAATATATTGAATTTCATCTTTCAGACTATGTCTGGTCGGTCGTTATAAGAAGTGTTGTGTACTGTCTCCGTATTTCGTGGATTTACATTCCTGTACATGATATTCATAAAATCGCACGGGTTGGTGTCTTGGTAGAAGCTGGAATTGTTCATCTTTTCGAAGCACATATTTCGTCCTGTGTGTCTTCTTATTTTTTATGACCTGGGTTTGTATGTGTCTCTTTGTTTTTCTCATTTTGACTGACGCTACAAGGGGTATAAAGTGTTGCGACCAAAGAGGATGGGTAGTGTTATCCAACTCTGATATATTTATCTATGTAGTTTATAGTGGTGAAACCTCATTCCCCTGATACGCGAAAGGGGTAAACCGAAAAGAAGATAGATAAAGACAAAAAAAAAAAAAAAAAAAACAACAGCGAACTAGAACAGCACAGAATCATCGGACAGTGGACACACAATTTTAAACGCCGAATAATAAAGACAAAAAAATTTTACCAAGACCCATAAAACAAAAGAGACGAGGATAAGGACTGAGCAATTGCAATAAACATGTGTATCAACTCCAATATACTGAGACAAATATCCCGCATGAGAAGAATACTCGAAATCAAAACGGGCAACCACAAATATTATATAGAACGGAGTTGGTCTTTTAGAGAAAATTTACCCATACACATGCAGACAGATGCATTGTCGGAATTATGAGCTGTCGGAATATAATGGGCTGTCAGAATAATGGACTGTCGGAGTAATGGGTTGTCGGAAAAGTGGGCTGTCGGAGTAATGGGCTGTCGGAATAATGGTTGTCGGACTAACAGACTGTCACCGTTCTAAAAGTACATTGTTTTTACAAAACGACAAAAGGCAGATTGCTCCTCGAAATTTCAATGGCATTGAAAAAGTAAACAAACATGATTTATTTTCATAATTCGAATGACTTTACTACTTATCTCCAAAAAAAGGTATTTCATTCGAATGAATCAAATGGTTCTCAAAGATATTTTGTGTAAGCATAATCAGAAACTCGGTAAAAGAAGAAATATTTACACAAAATTGATGTTTCGGATCGTGAAAGATCATGTACCACTTTTTGTGGGATCGTGAAAAGGATCGTGAATGATCTGATGCTACTAAGACGTTTAAATCATTCTTCAATTATATAAAAACTTATATTTGTATTGGTATAGAATAAAACTAGATTTGCAAGACTAACTTGGGTTTCTTTTGTTAATGGTGAATAGGGCTATGATCGTGCAATGCCATTGGATCTACTTATCTTATAATACCACATTAACTAGGTGAATTATAATAATATTAGTCTTTTTGTCCGTCCTTCATAAGTTTTATTTTCTTATAAAAATTTAAGTTTGTTTCATTTTGTATTTATTAATTTTCATTGCTCTTTTTATGCCCATTATATTCATACAGCGAAGATCCTCATTAAGCATTTCAAAGTATTAATATTTTAAAACCTCGACTGTGCCTTATTTCATGGATCAAGGTTTAGTTTTGTGGCCAAGTCCGTATTACGGATATGGCTGTAGCTGATGTAAGGTATAATTGTAAGGTGTACATTTTCGACTAGAAAAGTTTCAACTAACCTTGGCCTCATTATCATGCATAACTGGGCAATGTTTATTTTATGTGCTTCGGTATTTTGCTTATATACCTGTATGCTATGGGGCCACTCTCTTTGGTGTATGGTGTACATGTGTTTTAACGTTGCATACCAATATTATTGGCTAAATAGTGGCTGTAAGTAGATAGGTCTGCTTGAATTGTAATACACCGATTCTCATAGCTGAATTTTTTACAAGCGGACTGAAAAGGGTATGATATCGCTTTTGACATACCAGTGCAGATTCAGTAAAAGTTGAAACGATTGAGAATAGAGCTTAATCGGTTAAACAACAGTTCAAGCTTGGCATCCTAGTCGAAATATACGTTGAATGAAAATTTCCCCACTAAGTTTGGTACAATGACGTTTATTGTCAAAACACTTAAACAAACAATTATTTAGAAATAACGTTATCTTTGTAACTCTTATGTTTTCGTCGGCGCAGCCACGAAATAACAATAGTGTCATACTATGTATGTACAAACGACACTCAACATAACTGAAAGTAACAACCCTTACAAAATAAAATGCGTACACATGCAGATATTTCCAAGGAGAATGCATTTAAAGATACATATAAACCTTTTTTCGACAGTTTACGCTCGTAGAGGTCCTTCTATTTTGGAAATCAACTTATCTAGACACGTTTTAGTTATTGTTTGAACTTTCGAGGTAAAAGGTTGAATTTTGGAAAAAAAATTAAAAGCTTGAATGTTCGTTATTTTGACCGGCAGTCCTGTTCATATCTTAAATATTTTTGGAGTTATAATCTTCTGTATTGGTATCTGCCATATCTCGTACGTTGTTACTTAAAAACATAAAATAGCTTGATAAAAACACTTCCGACATTTAAACAAAATATTTTACTAATGATACTGGGAAGATCCTGATGTTGTTGTGGACAAACCCATGTAAGAAATTAATACCTCAAAGGAACACAAATAGAACCATACAAATATAACATGCTTGCAGCTTCTTGGATGCCATGTCGCATATTAGAATCACATCATGCAGAAATGCAGCTTATTTGATCCTCTTCTTATTTTGAGCTTTTCCTGCTATCCAAAATAAAAATTGTGAAACATTTTTTATCGTTATCATTTGGCAATACATGCAATCTTCTTCTTTTTTACGTAAATCTCTATAGCGTTGGAGCCCACTCAGCTAGCTGTGTTCCCTTAAAGGATCATTGTTAAAAATGTTAATGTATTCAAATAGAAGTTATTCCAAATGTTGAAAGGAATGGAAAGTTTGAAATGCACAAAATTTATTTACAGGAATGTACATTATTATATACACGAAGCAGACATAGTATGTTGGCCAATAAGCAGATTTGATATTAATAGCAATTTTTATCTAAATAAAATCTATCAACGATTGGCACTGATTTAAATTAGTGTCTCCTTAACGACAGTCTTGAACATTAAAACTAAATATCAAATAAAAGACACTGCTATTTTTAGTGTCTGGTACAGGTTGGCTGTCACTGTACACCACAGTTTAACATAGAAACCTATTGTGTAAAACCAGAGATATCTTTGTCAGAAAACACTGTCAAACATCCAAATATACTATCCACACTGATATGTGTCCACACTTGTTATATTTAAAAAAAATCATTTTTTTTATCAAACTTGTTGAAATATTTAGAATTGAAAATGACATGGTTTGTCGATGAATTATACAATAATTGGTTAAAAAATCGTCTTCAATAAATGCATTTAATTGACAAAATGAATTAACAAAATTGAAAAGGTATTTTTGACAAAAATACCAAGAAAGACAATATAAATATAGCTCACCTACTTTTAACGGGAATTTACAGTCATTTCTTTATACAGTTGTACAGCGAACTATTATGGTCGCGTCTTTGATCAAGAGGTTAAGCACTTCATGAAGCTCAGAGTTTGACAAAGACATTTGGTTTTCACAGGAGTATTATTACACAAACGTTTTCTGGATGATTTCTTGGGTTAAATTACAAAACACACAATTCTACCATAAACAAACTAACTTCACCAGGCGTGTAGATTACTGATCAATATCTGGACTATTATGTAAGACAACTCCATACTTTTCAAAGGAAAATTCAATACATTTCAAGCACTTTTGACTGTACGTAGAGATTACATATTTTCTTTCAAACTTTATTGTAGAATAGCAATCCTTGTAACTTTAAGAAAACAAATGAATCATTTTGTGAAACAACATATTAGACCATATAACAATTTCCGCGATAGGAATTTCGACATTTCAAATTTCTAAATTCTTAATGTTCATGTCGATTAGAGTGTAAATTCAGTAAGTAGAAATTAGTATTACACGATTTTTATTTTTATATTAACGTTTTGTTTTTGGCTTTGTTTACTGCCGAAATTTATTGTCTGATTTCTATAAGTATCTTCAACACTAAATGCAAATAAAAAATTTAAGAAGTTTTATGGTGCATATTATATAAATATATATAACGACATTAAATTTTCATAATGACTAAACTCGCTCAGGTCTTTTAAAAATGGTATTTTACGAGAAGTAACATTCAATTTATGTAAAATTAGTATATCTTTCATTTCGTATTGATACCCGTGTCCTGATTTTGTAGAGATAGAGATGAACTAATTTGGAGGGGGATGGGGGAGTTAAAGATTGAAAAGAGAAACACTTTTTCTTCAGTTTACTTAATATTTAGGGAGATAAGCAGCAGATCAATTAGACTTTGCTTAGATGCGACATGTATTCAAAGATTTATAAAGTAGAAAACGTTATTTGGAGGGGGAGGTAGGAGTCAAAGATTGAAAAAAGAAACAATGTTTTCTTCAGTTTACTTAATATTTTAAATTTAGGTTAATCACTCCTAGGTTCATCTTCCTTTAAGGATATTATAATTTTGAGGACAAAAGGCAAGCAATTTATACTCAATAACTCTTTCAGTTTAGATTTTTCTAACACATTTAAAAAGTACACCAAACCGAGCTTAAACTGTAAAGGATGTAGATTATACGTCAATAAGACAGCAATCAAACGACAAAACCAAATAAAGGACATCTAGAGGGCAACATATAGTATAGTTTTCAACAAAAGATACAGAGGAGATAACTTCTAACCTCTCATTAGAACTGTCAGAATAATCTGTCATAGAACTGTTCTAAACTATCCTCGAGCAGTTCTACCCTAGAACTGTTCTAAGTAGAACTATCAGAATCAGTTCTAGGGTAGAACTGTCTTAAACTGTTCTAGGTAGAACTGTCCAAAACAGTTCTAGTCGTAGAACTGTCCAAAACAGTTCTAGTCGTAGAACTGTTAGCAGAACTGACCAAATCAGTTCTAACCGTAGAACTGTCAGCAGAATTCGAATTACGTTATACAGGGAATTATTTGTACATATTTTCATCAAACTATTTTTAACAAATTCGGCAGGGTCAGCATATGATTTGCTTTATAAAATACAGACTCTATTATGTGTATTGGATATTGTGTGACTCCAATATGGCCAAATCCAACCCGCCACTGTAAGGATTTGGCGGACGACTCTGCCTTAACCAATGAATGGTAGACAAAATAAGAGTAAGTCAAGGAGAAGGAAAATCATTCACAAAGAAACACGCGGGACAAGAATGAAACACATTGTCTTATAAACATGATTTTTTATTAGTTGTCAATGGCTTTGAACTAGCTGTCAATAACTACGAATACTCTTAGATCTGTACTTTGTGTTTTTGTTGTTTTGAGGGATGTATAAATACCCTGTCACGTCCGGTATGTATAAGTGTTAAAAGTTTGTGTGCTTTGTATCGATCTGATAAGTTAAGCCCTTTTCAAATAATTTCTAACCCCGCCACATTCTTAATGTGCCTGTCTAAAGTTAGTAGCTGGTAGTTTAGTGGTTGTCGTTGGTTCATATCTGTCATATTTGTTTTTCGTAAATGGTTTTGTTGCAATTTATCAGTCCTGCCGCTCCCCCAACCATTATAAAATAGGCATGTTTTTCTAGATTTTAAAATAAGCTGGGGATATAAAATCGGTACCCCTACAAATATATTGAGTGTCATCTTTCAGACTATGTCTGCTCGATCGTTATAAGAAGTGTTGTGTACTGTCTCCGTATTTCGTGGATTCACATTCCCGTACATGCTATTCATAAAATCGCACGGGTGGGTGTCTTGGTAGAAGCTGGAATTGCTCATCTTTTCGAAGCACATATTTCGTCCTATGTGTCTTCTTATTTTTTATGACCTGGGTTTGTATTTGTCTCTTTGTTTTTCTCATTTTGAACGACGCTACAAGGGGTATAAAGTGTTGCGACCAAAGAGGATGGGTAGTGTTATTCAACTCTGATATATTTTTTTTTGTAGTTTATAGTGGTGAAACCTCACTCCCCTGATACGCGAAAGGGAAAAACCGAAGATCTAGTGAAAAGAAGATAGATAAAGACAAAAAAAAAAAAACAACAGCGAACTAGAACAGCACAGAATCATCGGACAGTGGACACACAATTTTAAACGCCGAATAATAAAGACAAATAAAATTTAACAAGACCCGTAATACGAAAGAGACGAGGATAAGGACTGAGCAATTTCAATAAACATGTGTATCAACTCCAATATACTGAGACAAATATCCCGCATGAGAGGAATACTCGAAATCAAAACGGGCAACCACAAATATTATATAGAACGAAGTTGGTCTTTTTAGAGAAAATTTACCCATACACATGCAGACAGATGCATTGTCGGAATTATGAGCTGTCGGAATATAATGGGCTGCCAGAATAATGGGCTGTCGGAGTAATGGGTTGTCGGAATAGTGGGCTGTCGGAGTAATGGGCTGTCGGAATAATGGTTGTCGGACTAACAGACTGTCACCGTTCTAAAAGTACATTGTTTTTACAAAACGACAAAAGGCAGATTGCTCCTCGACATTTCAATAGCATTGAAAAAGTAAACAAACATGATTTATTTTCATAATTCGAATGACTTAACTACTTATCTCCAAAAAAAAAGTAAATTTCATTTAAATGAATCAAATGATTCTCAAAGATATTTTGTGTAAGCATAATCAGAAACTCGGTAAAAGAAGAAATATTTACACAAAATTGATGTTTCGGATCGTGAAAGATCATGTACCACTTTTTGAAGATCGTGAAAAGGATCGTGAATGATCTGATGCTTATAAGACGTTTAAATCATTCTTCAACTATATAAAAACTTATATTTGTTATTGGTATAGAAAAAAAACTAGATTTGCAAGACTAACTTGGGTTTCTTTTGTTAATGGTGAATAGGGCTATGATCGTGCAATGCCATTGGGTCTAATTATCTTATAATACCACATTAACTAGGTGAATTATAACAATATTAGTCTTTTCGTCCGTCCTTCATAAGTTTTATTTTCTTATACAAATTTAAGTTTGTTTCATTTTGTATTTATTAATTTTCATTGCTCTTTTTATGCCCATTGTATTCATACAGCGAAGATCCTCATTAAGCATTTCAAAGTATTAATATTTTAAAACCTCGACTGTGCCTTATTTCATGGATCAAGGTTTAGTTTTGTGGCCAAGTCCGTATTACGGATATGGCTGTAGTTGATGTAAGGTATAATTGTAAGGTGTACATTTTCGACTAGAAAAGTTTAAACTAACCTTGGCCTCATTATCATGCATAACTGGGCAATGTTTATTTTATGTGGTTCGGTCTTTTGCTTATATACCTGTATGCTATGGGGCCACTGTCTTTGGTGTATGGTGTACATGTGTTTTAACGTTGCATACCAATCTTATTGGCTAAATAGTGGCTGTAAGTAGGTAGGTCTGCTTGAATTGTAATACACCGATTCTCATAGCTGAATTTTTTACAAGCGGACTGAAAAGGGTATGATATCGCTTGTGACATACCAGTGCAGATTCAGTAAAAGTTGAAACGATTGAGAATAGAGCTTAATCGGTTAAACAACAGTTCAAGCTGGGCATCCTAGTCGAAATATACGTTGAATGAAAATTTCCCCACTAAGTTTGGTACAATGACGTTTATTGTCAAAACACTTAAACAAACAATTATTTGGAAAAAATGTATCTTTGTAACTTTTTTTTTTCGTCGGCGCAGCCACGAAATAACAATAGTGTCATACTATGTATGTACAAACGACACTCAACATAACTGAAAGTAACAACCCTTACAAAATAAAATGCGTACACATGCATATATTTCCAAGGAGGATTAATTCAAAGATACATATAAACCCTTTTTCGACAGTTTACTCTCGTAGAGGTCCTTCTATTTTGGAAATCAACTTATCTACACACGTTTTAGTTATTGTTTGAACTTTCGAGGTAAAGGGTTGAATTTTGAAAAAAAAATTGAAAACTTGAATGTTCGTTCTTTTGACCGTCAGTCCTGTTCATATCTTAAATTATTTAGGAGTTATAATCATCTGTATTGGTATCTGCCATATCTCGTACACTGTTGTTACTTAAAAACATAAAATAGCTTGATAGAAACACTTCCGACATTTAAACAAAATATTTTACTAATGATACTGGGAACATCCTAAAAAAAAATACAGTTTTGTTGTGGACAAACCCATGTAAGAAATTAACACCTCAAAGGAACACAAATAGAACCATACAAATATAACATGCTTGCAGGTTCTTGGATGCCATGTCGCATATTAGAATCACATCATGCAGAAATGCAGAAATGCAGCTTATGTGATCCTCTTCTTATTTTAAGCTTTTCCTGCTATCCAAAATAAAAATTGTGGAATCTTCTTCTCTTTTACGTAAATCTCTATAGCGTTGGAGCCCACTCAGCTAGCTGTGTTCCCTTAAAGGATCATTGTTAAAAATGTTAATGTATTCAAATAGAAGTTATTCCAAATGTTGAAAGGAATGGAAAGTTTGAAATGCACAAAATTTAATTACAGAAATGTACATTATTATATACACAAAGCAGACATAGTATGTTGGCCAATATGCAGATTTGATATTAATAGCAATTTTTATCTAAATAAAATCTATCAACGGTTCGCACTGATTTAAATTAGTGTCTCCTTAACGACAGTTTTGAACATTAAAACTAAATATCAAATAAAAGACACTGCTATTTTTAGTGTCTGGTACAGGTTGGCTGTCACTGTACACCACAGTTTAACATAGAAACCTTTTGTGTAAAACCAGAGATATCTTTGTCAGAAAACAATGCCAAATATCCAAATATACTATCCACACTGATATGTGTCCACACTTGTTATATTTAAAAAAAAATCATTTTTTTTTATCGAACTTGTTGAAATATTTAGAATTGAAAATGACACGGTTTGTCGATGGATTATACAATAATTGGTTATAAAATCGTCTTTAATAAATGCATTTAATTGACAAAATGAATTAAAAAAATTGAAAAGGTATTTTTGACAAAAATACCAAGAAAGACAATATAAATATAGCTCACCTACTTTTAACGGGAATTTACAGTCATTTCTTTATACAGCTGTACAGCGAACTATTATGGTCGCGTCTTTGATCAAGAGGTTAAGCACTTCATGAAGCTCAGAGTTTGACAAAGACATTTGGTTTTCACAGGAGTATTATTACACAAACGTTTTCTGGATGATTTCTTGGGTTAAATTACAAAACACACAATTCTACCATAAACAAACTAACTTCACCAGGCGTGTAGATTACTGATCAATATCTGGACTATTATGTAAGACAACTCCATACTTTTCAAAGGAAAATTCAATACATTTCAAGCACTTTTGACTGTACGTAGAGATTAGATATTTTCTTTCAAACTTTATTGTAGAATAGCAATCCTTGTAACTTTATGAAAACAAATGAATCATTTTGTGAAACAACATATTAGACCATATAACAATTTCCGCGATAGGAATTTCGACATTTCAAATTTCTAAATTCTTAATGTTCATGTCGATTAGAGTGTAAATTCAGTAAGTAGAAACTAGTATTACACGATTTTTATTTTTATATTAACGTTTTGTTTTTGGCTTTGTTTACTGCCGAAATTTATTGTCTAATTTCTATAAGTATCTTCAACACTAAATGCAAAAAAAAAAATTAGGAAGTTTTATGATGCATATTATATAAATCAAATCCAACTATTAAGGTCATCATAGCGGAAATTGTCAATTGACCCTTTATGGTAGTTTTTACCGTTGAAAAAAATATTTTCACCAATTTGTTTTATTATTTTTGTTTTGTTGCAAAAACTATAGCAATTACTTAGAAACTGCCATTGCAAATGATCAGGACAAGATGTACATACATATTTTATGATGGTATGATACTAAACCCCTAACGGGAGGGATTGTGCTTGATACTCAAATGATGACGACATAATCTTTCAATCGGTTTGATTGAGGTCTGGAGCTGGCATGTCAGTAACCTTGTAAATTTATGTCTCATTGTCAATTTCTTTAGTTTCTTTTGTTACCTATTCTGACATCGGACTCAGACTTCTTTTGAGCTGAGTTTTACTGTGCGTATTGCTGTGTGGTTTTTTTCTACATTGACTGAAGGTATAGGGGAGGGTTGAGGTCTCAAAAAACACATTTAACCCCGCCGCATTTTTGCGCGAGTCCAGAGTGAGGATCCTCTGGCCTTTGTTAGTCTTGTATGATTATTAAGTTTAGTTCATTTATACATTTATATATTTCGGAGTTTAATATGACGTTCATTATCACTAAACTAGTACACATTTTTGTTTATGTGCAAGCTAAAGCACGCCTACGGGTACTGGATGTTCGAGTTTGTATTTTCGTGAGACGAAAATAATCTGAAATATGTTCAATCCACCATTTACTACATTTGAAAATACCTGTAACAAGTAAGGAATATGATAGTTGTTGTCCATTCGTTTGATGTGTTTTATCATTTGATTTTGCCATTTGATTGGGGACTTACCGTTTTAAATTTTCCTCGGAGTTCAATATTTTTGTGATTTTACTTTCCCTATTATATAATAATATTTTAGTACTTAGTAACTTTACTTAAAATTCTGCATGAAATAATTGCTATGAATTTTCTATTCTAGAATTTCCTTTTTTGTTTCAGATGATGAAGACATCCATATTGATATTTTATATCTGTATATATTGTTCAGCTTTTTTCACAATTGCTGAATTAAAGGAAAAAGAATCAAAACATAGATTAGCCAAACGTGGTGCTTTTGCCTTACCATCAATGGTCGATCTGCTAATAACAAGCTCTTTTCGTATGAGAACAGATTTTGCCAACAATGAATTGCAATCTGCAGGTGAGGTTGCTCTTTTGGTCGTTGGGAGTATTCCAGTTATCGGTGACATCATACGTCTAATCACTGACCGTCCAAATCAGAGATATGATATCGAAAGGGGATTAAGAGAGATTAATGGAAACTTGAAAGTTTTGAATAACAACATTAAAAAGATTGGAATCAAAGTAGAAGAACTATCTAAAAAAATAGATTTATCGGTCTTGAAAAATCAGGTTGCTACTGATAAACGGGAAATATCAAACTGTTATGAGGATTTTTTACTTTTTCTTCCAAATCCATTATCCCGTGCTGAACACGATCGACTTAAAAACTGTTATTCTAAATTTTCATATGTCCGCCAAATTGGAAGCATACTTAAAAACGATAAGCTGACATTTATGCAAAAGCCTATATTCGACCAAATTATAGAAGTCACCGGTTATTGTGATGGGGAAAGAATCAAAGACGTTTTTGGATTTCTTCTCGGTATATATATAGAAGGTTGCATAGCTTTAATCACTTCAGAAGTGTTGGAATATGGAGAAGAATCCACAACTTTTAAGGACGAATGCGTTACTACTTTACGAGTTTCAACCAACGTACTGAAAGATATTCTCTTCAACTGCAAATTAGTGCCGTGCAACAAATATATTCAAGTTATGACAGATATTTTGAAGACAAATCAAACATCTGCCATCGAATTACAATTGCAAGCCGTATTCCCCTGGTTCAAGTTTGTTATTGTGTCGTTACGAAAAGGGAAAAATTCTGGAATATCTCTATATAATCTACATGTTTTCAACTATATTGCCCTTTCAAGCAGTGGGTACGTGTATCGCGTGCTTATATGGTCAACCTATTACTTTTTTGTATATAATTTCGGAGACACATACGGTGTTGGATACAAGGAAAACGAAGTGGAGTTTATGTACAATGGACAGCATTTGACCGAATCAACGACTAATGGACTAACCATGTTAGAGGGTGTCGTTGCCAATATCAAGATGATTCTGCCAATATGCAATCATGACGTAAACCATGACATTGATTCTAATATTAAGGATCTCCAATCACAGAATAATAGATCAATTCCAGGTTGGTCAATAGCATTAATCGTTATTTCTGCAGTGATTGCTCTGATTATTGCTTTTTGCATCTATCGATGCTGTCGAGATGAATTATGTTAACGTAGTAACATGAGTTCGCCTTGCAAAATGAATTATTTGAGTAACCAGTAGGAAATTACCAGTACCTAAGAAATTATTCGTTTTTGGCATGACATGCAATCAATTATGGCGTCCATAATTTGTTTGAAACAGTAACATTTAAAAAAAACAAAGCAATATCAAATCTTACTTTAAATAAATTCATTATCTGCATAGTTGAAGGAGGATTATGGACTGAAAAACTAAACTAAATATTTTTATTCGTTAGAGTATACATTGCTGATTGTAATATGTTTCAGTGTTTCTTGGTAATTGAATTACGTGCAGTTGTTAAAAACACATTGACACACAGTTATCTCAATTGATACAACAACGAAAAAATCAAAAGAATTTTGTGTTAAAATAAGTGGAAAAACAATTTTGTGTATACTCAGTACATAGATGATGGTAAATGGTTATTCTACATATAAGATATCACGTTAATATATCCCAGTTTCATTGCTTACATGAGTTTTTTTTTTAAAGTTAATCTGTATGATTCTGAAAATCACTTTTACTAACCAATTATTCGAACAAGTGTTTTGAACGTTTAATTTTCGATTGAAAGGATACAAAATATTTTCAAACGGAGATCATGTTAAACATTATACAAGAAAACCTGAGTTTGTGATAATGTCTGTTTTGAAACATCCTGGACTCTTTAACATAAGTATTTTTGTATATTTTTTTTGATGTATTTTTAGTTTTGAAGTTTGACAGTTCTATGTTTAGCAGTTATATCGTTGATATGTTTTGTTTTGTTGAATGTTTTACAACAGACGTACTGTATTGATTTTTTTATTTTAATTCGATTAACACTACAAATAGAAGATGTGGTAAGATTGGCAATGTAGAAACCCGGTGATAAATCATAATTGGTAGGTCACATTGGGGGAAAATGACTACATTTGGAACATATCCGTTGCCATCTGTGAAACAGATATTCTTTATCAGTCAACAAACTCGTGATGGCGCCATTAAAATTTTACAAAGGGGTGATTTCAACTTCATCACTTGACACTCTTCGTTAAATAATTTCCTTTCGAGCAGCAAACCTCTTCAAATTTTAATAGGAAACACAAGCCCTGAATATCGTATCAACTGGGGAAATATACTCCATATGCATGCACTGCTAGAATGTTACTACAATTGGGAAGCTGAAATCAAGTCTTTTGTTGTCAAGTTTTGTTTTCAACTGACCTTCATTGTCGATTTCTAGATGTCAGTCAAGATATAAATAAAGGCAACAGTAATATATCGGTGTACAAAAGTCGTAACTCGATTTAGATAAACAAAAATAAGAATAAAGCAGACTTAACTGTATTTGATGTATCCTTTATCTCAAGTTCTGTGTGATAGATGTTTTCAATATACTAGTAGTTGCCACATTTGAATGATTAGGTGAGAGAGCATTATCTCTATAGAGAAACGAGAAATAAAGGGATACTGCTAACTTCTTGTCTTTATTCCTAAGACGTTTTTGTATGAATTCAGCCTAAATGAACAAGTCAGAACGCAGCTGGTTCCCATGGGGATGTCGATTTTTTGTTGAAAAAGCGTCCTGCAGACGTAACAAATATGACGTCAATCAAGAAATCAAACATCTTGATAATATCCGTTTTAAAGAATTGTTTGTTTGAATAAGAGTGAATTTTTACTAGATACTTAAAAAAAATGCCTGTACCAAGTCAGGAATACGACAATTGTTATCCATTCGTTTGATGTGTTTGAGCTTTTGATTTTGCCATTTGATTAGGGACTTTACTTTTTGAATTTTCCTCAGAGTTTTTTGTGATTTACCTTTTTTGTTTCTACATTAGCCATTCTCTTTACGAGACAAAGCAGGACCAGTTCTTTCAATTTGTCTTTTAGTGAGGAATTTGGTAAAATTGTGTTAAGAGTAGAAAAGTTAACTTTATATATGATGAAAGAGTCTTAAGATTGTTTGTACTCAAAAGATTTTTAGAATTTTTAAATATCCACATCGGATTCAGATAATCTCTAGAATATGTAGTTAATAACCTTGAAGCTCAACTTTCATTGGTAATAAATTTGACGTTAATAATTCAGAAAGAAGTTTCGTTGAGCGATTAGACAATATAACGGTGTTTATTAGGACACTTATGTAATTAAACCAATAAAGTGAAGGAAGATCCAGTTCTTCATATTTGGTTGATATCCCAAAGGAACACAGACCAATGATAATACAGGATTTATGTCCTTGGAATGTGTCGTGTTGGTATATATTGAGTTTCTAAGTAAATTGTTGATACTCAATTTGTATTTATTAAACAGTTTATGTAATGTAATACACACACACACACACACACACACACACACACACACACACACACACACACACAAATATGCTTTATCTATGAGGACAATAACTTCCAAACAGAATATGTAGACAGCTCTCTCACGAGGCAAAAACCCTAAATGTTAAATATAAAGGCATACACTATATGTACAGACATGTGGACACATTCTACTGCATCCACACAGCACGAGTAACAAACCCTGCAGTAAATATAAAAAAATAAAAAGGTGGTATAATTGTCAATAAGACATGTCGCCACCAGCGACCTATTTATTACAGGTTGTTTGACATCGTGAGTTAGATTTTAGGATTTGAAATTCAATCTGAGTGTGTCGTTGTACCATTTGAAAGCATAATGCAAATGAAATAAACAGGAATGATAGAAAACAATAACAAATAACACGCAAAATGGTAGTTTGCAAGATTCCGTTGTTCATTTTAGAAATTGTCAATTTTGTCAGTGTTACATGTGCATTGATGTGTAAATAATGTGTATACAGGGACTAATGTTCATAGTTTTTTAACCTAGTTTAGACTCGAACAGACCCGTTAATATGGTTAATGTTATTTGAACCAATTAATAAACAAACAATCGGCATACCTATGGAAACCAACTGGTCCTTTATTTAGATGAGACTAACTTCATACAGAAACTTCTGAGGACGAGAGAAAGGAAGTTAACAAGCATCATTCTCTTTCCGCTTTAAAGATGCTGTTATCTCACTAAATCATTCAATATTTGGTGACTATGTTGAAGGCATATATATTCCATCGAACTTGAGATAGACGATACAAGAGATATAGTTAAGTCTGCCTCGTGACGGACATCCAAAAATTGACTATGGGGGTCTTTTGAACACTAAACTTTACGACAAAAGAGATGATGTGCATTTGCCATTTCTATTTAGTAACATTCCTGCAGCGCCTGATTACGGAGAATATATCTTCGAGTAGATACGATATTCCAGGGTTTGTGGTTCCTATCACAATTTCCTTAATAGTGCTCACAAGGAAGCTATGAAACCAAGAGTTCCAAGTGGTAAAGTTGAAATCAATCCTTCGTATTTTTGCCACGAAGAGATATGTTCTTATTGCCGTAACTTCAATACCGACCCCATACCACTAAATGTGACTTACCAAAGTAGGCACATCGCCAGGTTTGTACTTACATGAGCAACACGACGGGTGCCACATTCGATGCAGATCTGCTTACCCTTGTATGTGTGTAATTTATTTTAGTCACAGAGTTGTCAGTGTGTTTTCGACTTATTGGCTTGAATGTGCATTTTGTATCCTTCGCCTCTCCCAAAATAAAACATTTATATCAATACAAAAAAAAATGAAGAATAAAGTTATAACTGCAAAAATTTAAAGCATGCACAATAAGGTTGAGAGAAAATATTTTCTTTACGTCAAGCAGACTGAGATATCTTTTCAAAAGGGTCTCTGTATTTTCACATAATATGTTGAGATAATAACGTATTATTTTATCTTAATCTCCTTATACACTAGTCTATATATATCTACATATAAATAGAACTGTCATTTAGACATGTATCAATAAGCCTGTTTAGACGATCAGCTACAAAAGTATAAATTTGATTAGGTAACGGATCGTTTACAAAAGGCAAAACATTCTCAACAGGAAAATGACATGATCGGTTTTTCGAGGACATTTGGTGGACAGGACTGGTACCGTTATAAACCCACACACTTTGAAATTAAAATTATCAAAAACAACACAAACCACTGTTAAAAAAGGCAAGCACACCTTGTTCTATGGAAAGGTACGCAGTTCCCAGTCCACTTTTGACACCTATCGTGTTGCTCATTGCCAGCATTATTTCGATGAACTCAAATGCAAGGCCATAATATATCATATTTTTATCGCCCTAAAACGAATGTGACATCCTACTATCAATAAACTCATCATAGATACCAAGCTTAAATTTTGAACGCCAGAACGACGTTTTGTCTACAAATGACCCATGATGCTCGAATAAAAAAGTTAAAAATACGAATTTTAAGAGCATTGAGGGCAAAAAAATGAAATGTATTTGACAAACACAGCTATAGTTTGTTTTATAGAAGTGTATCTGTTCCTTGGTTCGAAACTCACTATGTATTTTAACAATTTTAAGTTTTGTAAACAGTTAACTTATAGATATCACAATATCAATGATAACATATTCCAACACAGAAGAGCTCACTACTATGATACATTAAAGCCTTTGTACAAATGTTAAAAATGCATGAAGGTTTATTTGATAATAACCAAAAACACCCAAACCACGGACTGAATACTAGACACACCAGATCCAGACCTCATTAAAACTGATTGAATATTTTGTCTTCATCAAATGTAAATCAAGCACAATCCCTCATGTTAGGAGTTTAGTATCATACCATCACAAAATGTATAAGAATATTATAGCCCGTAGCATGCCAAACACTGGTCATAGAGTAAATATTTTATTTCCGATGAGTAAATCAATATTATTACCCAAATATGCCATCTTTAATGATCTGACAACAGTATCGTAACTATATCCCTTCAAAATAAATCTGTTTAAAAATTTGGGTAGTTTTTTTAGGAGAATGTAGACCTTATTGTGCTTTGTATATAATATACCATAACAGATTGGATGTGAAATACCTTGAATAAGAGTTATTGTACTTCAGTGAAGATTTTAATTTTTTGTCGATTTTGTCTATCATCTTGAAAACGATTGCAGATAGTAAATATAGAGAGAAACGTCAATAGAAAAAGCAATAAGGAAGACAAGATCTACAAAAACACCACCATTGCCGAAATATTCACCGACACTCTTTTATTATTCATTATGCAAATGTTATATTGTATAAAAACTATGTTTATTTTTTTTTTAATGAAATATTCAGTTTCATGTAAAAACATTATAGGATAAGGCTTTGTTTAATTAGTTTTTATTTTGCTAATGAGAGCATTGTTAACATCTCGTGTCACATGTTTTGGTTTTACTATAGAAAGCGTTGCAAAGTTATAAAGGCAGTCAGGTTTGACAATAGTTATCTCTCACTTCTCATGCAACCAATACTGGACCTATAAAACTCTAACCAGTCGTCTAGCATTTAACGTATAGTGATGACGAAAAAGTTCATCATTGCAACTTTTTCTTTGGCAATTCCTATTCGAGAATTATACCTTTTTCCGACTTTTCATATTCTTATTTTGGAACTGATTTCATTTAAAATGTTTTAATAGATTTGTCATATTTTTTTATCTTAACATTGTCATCAGAAATTGTTTTTTTTTAATTTGATACTAAGCTTTCAAACTTTGTATTCTAAAAATATTATTATATATTTTTTGTAATTGTGTACAAACTAATTTGTTTATTTTATCATTGATATAAATTGTTATCATTTACTAAATTATAAAAACCTTCCTTTGCTTTTCTATCACAACATTACGTTTAGCAAACGACTGACCCCCAATTCTTTGGTCAAGAACAATTGAGTTAGCTCCCCTTATTTAACAGTGCTCTAATACATGGTGAAAGACGTACTGCTCTAAAATGACAATTTTATTATTTTGTGGTGTTTTGTGCCAATTTTCTTGGAAACTATAAAAACAGATTTTGGCATTGCACAAGTCATGTCTTAAATGACTGTCCCTGACGTTAAAACACTAAATCCCTGGGATGTGTTTTAGTTGAATTTAGTTTCTGATGCATGATTTTTTTATAATTGATTGTTTTGGCTTTTAACTGGCTTTCAGTAACTGAGAGTACTATCAAATCGTACTTTTCGTAAGTTTTCTCATTCAAAAAAATGCAAGCAAGTACCGAGACAAGAACAGTATGCTGTTAATAGAATTTGATCATTTGTAACATTATATCTAATTTGACATGGAGGCACCTTCGTTTAACATGTAGATCCGTTTATACTTTTATGGCACATTTATCATCAAGTTTTTCCGGTGACATGAGGATACAGTACAATATATTTCATTGTTTCAGAGGTATTTTCTATAGGTTTGTTTTCTATAAAGTTTGTGTTGTTGTCTTAGTATTCTTCACATCATTATTTTTTTTGGCAATTTTTACTTTTCAGAAGAAAAAAGAGGAATTATGAAATGAGGTTCATGATAGAGACATATGACATATTACCAAACAGAAAACAATAAACTTGTGGAAGATATGGTATACCGCAAACTTGAGGTGCAAACATTTATACACCATATCCGTATTTCTACAATTAATGTCTCTTCAGTGAAACGGTATTTCTATATATATATATCGGTCCTGACAAATATGCAGTACTACCTGTGAAATTATCTTATTAATGGTGGCCATAAAAAATATGGTGACCATGATGGCCCTAAATGTCCATCATTATACCCCCTGCTGCTTAATTAATACACATGGTATTAATCAAAAACTATTCAAGGATAAAGAGAAATCATGACTGCATTGAAGTGTTAAAATTACATAACTTACAGGTAAAGTGTCTCAGGGAAAATATATGACTTTTTGTGTTTGTCAAATTTAATATTATAATAACTGTGATTATGACAAGAAATTTCTAAAATAAAATGAAATAATAAAACTAGTTGAACATATAGCTTCCTAAACTTTTTTTTTGTAAAAATTTTTTCATGACTGTTTGCAAATATTTGTTTTGATGTTATAACTTTTAAATAATTCTATCAATTTAAGTTATTTTTTACATGTATTATTTGGCACGTGAATAATAAATGAATATCATCTTCTAATATAATGCAAACTTTATCAACGCCTGCCTTTTTCCATTGAAAAGGTGTTTCTCAAATTAATTTTCTAAAATCAAAATTGTTAAAACTTACTGCATTTAACATTGTTTAACAAATGTTTAAGATTATCTTTCCGTCTTATTCTAAATAAAATTTATGCAATTCATTATTTCTCTATTGAATAAATACATGTATATTCAAAATATTCATTACAGAAAAATGTGATAATTTTTTTATTGTCATATAAACATATTACAATTTAATCAAGTTTCTGACAAAAAAAAAATCCCTAAAACAAACATTATAATGCAAAGAAATAACAATTCTATAAGAAATCAAAACACATGGAAAAAAGTTATTAGGTTTCTGCCCTCAGTTCTAATGACTTTCTTTTATAAAGGAGCCAATATTTTAAACATGTTCCAGGTTATAGAGGTTTAGCATTTATTTTACTTTTTGTTCTTGGTTAAGATTTTATTCATAAGATTCGAGATTTTATTCATAAACTGGTCAGAGACATTATTATGAGAAGGTAAACAATTTTCAAAATAGATTATCTCTAATTAAGTTGTTTATGTTGTTATATTAATTTTACAAACAATTCTATCCTTTATAGGAATTTTTATTCACCATTTTCTATTTCTAAATTATGACCACTAATTCTTTACTTAGTGAAGCATTTGAGTTTACTGTTTTCATCATAAGTTTTTATTTTATTTTCAAAAATATTCTTATTTTGTTTCCTAAAATTCATTTTTAATCAAGGGCTTTAAAGAATCTAATTTATTCAAGTCCCTTCAATTATTAACTTTATCTAAAAGGCTTGAGTTGAGTGAAATATTCTTTGCAAGTGTATACCAAGAATATGTATCATGTATATGCCAGTCCTGCAGTTTCGACAATAATATACACAGAACAAAAAGTGATTTAATTAATAGACCATAAAAATGTCACAATCTATATAGAAGTGTACTTTATTTTTTCTGGAGACAAATTTTGCCTATTAACTGACAAAATTAGCCAAACTGAAGATAACATATTTGATAAGTTTACAATTGTTTCAAAAAGCAAGACAATTTTTTCTTTAAATAATTTCTTTGTAAGTCTCTTTAGTGATTCTTCATGCAAAACTCGTTTTGAGATTTGAAAAATATCAAAGATAAACAAAAATAGTTTATTCTAATACCATATAATGATATTTGTAGTTTTCCTGAATAATAATCATGATAATAGATTGTACAAATTTGTTAACAAAATTAATGGTAAAAGGATTGATATTCATGATATTGATAATTTAAATTTGTGAATAAACTGGCTTGTAAAATTACTTGCTTCATGGTTCCTTTAAACATATCATTTGCATGATTATAAGTTATAATTAATAATAATTCATTTAATAATGCAAACGAACAATAGAATACCATGTACATCATGTACAATAACTTTTTTTTTACTGAAAAAATAATTATTTAAAGGATTCTCTCTTTTGTATTCAAGTGCCAGTCAATAACTTATCTTTGAATTTTTGTCATTTCTACTCAAGATTCTTTCCAAGAAGAAATTAAAAGAATAAGAAGCAAAAAAAAAAAAACAAATAAAAAATAATAATAACATAAAAAAATAAAAACATTAGAAAAAAAAGGAAAATATGTAAATTTAAAGACAGAAAAATCAGCAAATGATATGAATTAACAAAGACAAAAACAAACATTCTATTCTACATTTTCAAGAAAAGGTGAAATGTCAATTTGAGAAGAAACCTGAGTTACCTGTACAGGTGAATTTTAATGAAACATACATGCTGAAAACCTCAACCCTGATTGATTTCAACAGGTAACATAATTAGATAAAACATCAACCTATGTTTTATGACCCCAATAAATGGCCAACATCTCAAGATTGAATACCCCAATAAATGGCCACCATTCAATGGTGACCATACAAGAGGGTGGACATAACTAAGAGGAAGTCACAGGTTGTACTGTATCAACATTTTCAAATGTATTTGAGTCACAAATCTTCTGGGGGATACCTGTTAAATTTTCACAATTGATGTTAATAATTCCTGATTAAAATTAGAAGACATGTAGAATGTTTGTCTGTGATACAATAACATGTTTTCCGGAATATGCCGTGTAATACATGTTTACACTGATGATTTAAATTTTCAATCATAGTTATAAATTGATTTTTTCTGATAACAAGGTTATCTTGAGATCTTGAGATATTCAGCTGATAAATTTCAAAGGTAAGATAAATTTAGCTGTAAATGTTTTTTTAGAATATAAAAAATGGAAAATAGATAATTAATTGTATGACTACATTCTAGTATATCAAGTAAAACATGATACTCAAATGTCACTTTTACATTAAACATCATGTAAACACTCTTATGAGCAGAACATTGAATGAAAATCCTATCCGTTTACATATTCAAGTATCTCAGAAAATGTTTGAAATCTTCCGTCAAAAGAGATTATCTGATCTCATCGAATATGTAAAATCAAAATAACAATGTGCGACATTGTAAAAATCATTCGAAATATAAAAGATACTCAAGCATAAGCATACAGTACTTTAGAAAAAAATCGTTCCATTTTTTTTTTTTCAATAAATAATTTTCAATGCTGCTTCAATATGCAGTTTTCAATGTTTCCTCTTCCTTCAACATGTTCTTATTTGTAGATTCATGCCCAGCAAACACACAACATTTTAAAAACATTTTTTAAATGTTATATGGACGTCTCTCACAAAATATTTCAATAAGATATCATTTAAACATCAAAAAAATGTTTATTTTATTGTTTTGAAATGTTTTATTTCTAACATTTAAGTAAAATGTTTTTACAACATTAACAAAATATTATTTTCTGATATCTTTATTCATGTTCTCAAACATTATTCTAAAATATCCCGTAGATATTTTATAATATAAAAAAATAATATTTTCTTCAATTGGTATTTCATATTGTTACCACATTTAAAGTAAATATTTTTCAAATATCCAAAAAACATTCTGCAAAAAATATTTTACAGAAAATATAGTTTGCTATTTGCATAAAATGTTTATAACGTAAAATTAAAATGTTTTACATAATACATCTGAAAAATATCAGCTAAATGTTTTCTATGAAATGTTTTGACATACACATTATTTAATAGTCTTACTGATATTTTATTCAACATTTTACGGATATAAAAATAACATTTTATTTAAACTTTATTCAAAACCCCACAAAAAATATTTTTTGTGGAATTAGCTCGTTTTTTTCAGGATAAGATATAGTACTACATTTCATCAGTATCATGACAAGCAAGATACTATATCGTTGAAATCCTTGATATCTTGAGGTCAGATTTTATTCCTTCTTATATTAAAATTCAAAAGAGTCAACATTGAATAAAGCAATAATGTATTAATAAACAATAACCTTTCTTTAATGTTTATTCATTTCGTTCGTGTATATTTTAGAAATTAAGAAATGAAAACTGTAACTGTACTAAGTTCTATTTTCGTATCGTTTATATGCATTACGGAAAACCGACCTTTTCCGGAAACGACTTTTGTTTTATCACCGGGATATTGAAATTTGAATTTTGAAACGAAGACAGGATATCAACAAAGAGAGCCAAGAAAATTGTTTGTTACGCGATATATACTCACTTGGTAAGAATGATTAATCTCTTAAGATGAAACTTGTGCATTCATTTTGTGTGTTCAATCATAATCGGAACCAATACATCTGTTTCTAGAGGTGCGGATCAAGGTTTTGAAAAAAGGGGGGCCCTGCCTAAGGCAAGCAAACGTTTGGAGTGATACTTGTAAATAGTCTATGCATTTATCTTATATGTAGCTCCATAAGGGGATCGGGGCCCCTAAATCATCCACTGTTCTAGCATCTACGAACACCTATTATGAATTTGTTCATTGATAAAAAAATAAGGATATGTGGCTTGTGTGTTTGATTGCCAATACACCTTATCGCTATTTGTCCGCCATAACTGGCCATGGACATCACAAAAGTTCCCGTAAAATGTTAACGTCATAATAGAAAATATTTGACACCACAATGGAAAGTAATACACCTTATTGCTATTTGTCCGCCATTACTGGACATCACACAACTGTCACAAGTTCCCGAAAAATTTTGACGTCATAATAAAAAATATCTGACGCCACAAGCAGGACAGATTCTCGGGTCAAGCGGAAATAGCGATAAGGTGTATTATTGTATGACGTATGCTGACGTAAAAAGTTCAAACGGGATAGATTTCCAAATACTGAAATAGCGATAAGGTGTATGAGACAGCTATCCACCAGAATTCAAATGACTTGGATAAAAGAAATTATAAGTCACTGTACGGCTTTCAACACTGAGAAAACCCATACCATATAGTCCACTTTAAAAGGCCTTGACAAACAAATGTTAAATTTTTCTCAACACAATTGAAACAAAACAACTAACGGCCTACATTAAATACACATTATGAAAAACAAATATGACAGACTTAAACCAACAACAACTATTGCAATAACAGACCTGCCAACCTTCACGCTTTAGAGGGGATTTCCCCCATGAGAGGTGTTGACCTGAATTTTGAAATTTGTTATTAGACAAATTTAACACCTGAAAACAGGCATTCAAATGAGATAAAAGGGGATTTAAGCACATGCATACTCATTCAAACAATATAGTAGTAGATTAGAAAGTCTTATGACAATATAAGAGCATTTAGTCATCTCGCTCTTGAAATCCCCCATGGAGATTTTGAAAACTTGGCAGGTATGCAATAAGCATGACTCAATGCCTTGTTCCAAGGCACACAAACAAGTTACAATAACACTAATATAAGCACCATGTGAATATGGAGATTTTTTTTTCTAGTAAAATCAGTGTATGTATGTATTTGCAAAACAGTAAATTAAATTTCCCTTAACAGCTTAATGAACATTACAAAGACTGTAAGACTTCAGTACAAGCAAGATGATATAAACTGTTGCTTAAAGTTATATTTATTGATTCATACACACAATGTACATACAATGTATCTTTTATTTTTTAACAGGAGCTAAAAGAAAAGCCACAAAGGACAAGTTCAATATGCAGGTTTACAATTTGGAAGTGGCACAGGTTCTTTGGAATGTCTACAACCTTTCAGGAGAAATTTTTTTTTGAAGTAAGATTTTCATACAGAATTACTGTCATTCCATATTTAATTCAAATATTTAGCATAAACAATACATTACATTCAAGATTAAGGGCATACAATACAGAAAAGATATCTGGATATTTGAATAAATTATTTTTTTTGTGACAAAACAGAAACAAGTTGTTTATTTAAATCAATCTTTTAGTCCAACTGTGTGCTTTCATAAACAACATATTTGCTTTCCTTTGAAGTATTTCAAATACATATAAACTACTCATTTAATGACATCTGTGTGTTTCTCGGAAGTTAAGTTATATTATTATCATCTTGCGAAAAACAATGCGTAACACTTCAATAAGTTATTATGTGCCTATAGGACTGTATCATATGCCCTTAGATACAAATGACAAATTATAAACTATGTCACTGTACAGAGTTTAACACTTAAAAAGGACAACAAGATGTTTAATGTAGCAGGGATTTTAAAGGCCCCTACATGATACAATGTATTTAATGAAAACTAAAAAAAAACCAAGAAAAGAACAGCTTTTTTTTTACAAAACAATAAAAGAAAAAAAAATATGATAGACAACAATCAACGAGTATAATGAAATAAGTCTCTTGTCTAGACACATGTCTAGTCTAAAGTTTTTTATGTGTTTTTTTTATAACTGAATGAAGTTCAGCGTGGCATATTGCTCTCTCTTAACACGGTCAACCATTTATCGTCCCCTTCTGACAGACTATCATCGTTATTTGTTTCAAAACTTTAAAGGGGAGGGGATGTACACCTTTCAGGCAACGTGAATCGTTCTCTAATAAAGGAATGTGGAAGAAGTTTATACATGTATATGAATGTAAGATTTTTTTTTTTTTTAGACGCATGGCACGTACAGCAAGAAAAAGATATAAGACACTACAAGACATTCCAAGTGATTTTCAATAAGACAATTAATTGACTTTTTCAATGTATTCTTAAATAAATCCAATAGTTGATGTAAAATGGTGTTTTGTTCTCATCTCTTAAGCCAATTATCAAAAATTATTGACTTAAGATGTAACCCTATTAGAAGTGTTACGTTTGAGTTTAGATAGAGAAGTTATATTGAAAAAACTGAATTTGGGACACAAGTTTTACTCTATGTAACTTCAACTGAAAAATGTGTATAATGTTTGCATAATGTCTAATGGCAAATATGTCATGCATGTTCAGGTTGACATATGCATGATGTGTATAAGATAGGTAATAAAAGTTGAAAGTGAAAAACTAAACATTATACCATTGTGGTAGGAATGTGGGCTTTCATGCACTGTCTGTCGTCTGTCCACCTATATTTGTCGGATTTTGTCCAACAAATATTTTTATTACTGTTTTTCCCAAAACTGCTGATCAAGATGAGTTCATAATTGTTGAGCTACTTGATAGTGATGAACTGTGATGTGTGAAAATTTTTGTATCTGGCACCTGTTTCCTGTTTGCTTATACATTGTATTTCAAAATGTTGAATGTTCTCAAATTTTTCATTACTTTTATTGGTAATGCTGCTGAACAGAATGACTTCATATTTGGTAAGTGGCTTGACCATGATGAGTTGTGTCTGCCATTTGGGATGTGTCGAAATTTGTAGATACTTCTTGTTTTTAGATACTTTGAATTGTGAATTTTCATATGCTTAGCAAAATAACTGATTTATTCTTGTTTGTATATAGAATAAATCACTGTGTATAAATTAAAATAATGATTTGTTATTTAAAAAAGCAGGAAACTCAATCAAAAGTACAGAAGTTTTTATATTGATATGATCTAGATATCAACCAAAAACATCTTCTTAAAACATTTTGAAAACATTTTTTAGGCACAGTCTCACTTGAAAGGAAACATCCCAAAAACATGTTTATAACATTATTTGATGTTCATGATGTTTTTCAAACGTTCAGAAAATATTTCTAGAAAATAGTTTTTTAAAGATTATCAAAATGTTTTATACGCCATTGGTTTTCACATTATCATGATATTTCTTGACAACATTTTAATTATATTATGCAAATATTTCAGAAAATATATTAGAAAACGTTTTAGCGATATATATTCAACCATACATTTTATGTTTTTCTCACGTTTTTTTGTGATATTTTCATGACATTAGACACAACATTTTAATAACATTTTAAAGATGTTTTTGTGTTTACTGGGTGTAGACTCAACAAACGTCTTGTGAGCAAATTCATGAAACCAATTGGTCGACGTTTCGTATGATTAGTTTAATCTTTTGTATCAATTTAATACAGCATTTATGCAGCCATTGTCTGTAAATCTACTGTCAGTATACCTTTTAAAATTCCATAGTCAGATTTGGAACATCTTTTAGAAATTTCAGATTTGAAGTACACTTCAGCTTTGCTATCGAATTTTCTTTCAGACCAGATTGGAGTGTGTATCACTGATACATCTTAGATCAACGAAATTATCGTCCGTTTGTCGTTTTGAATACTTTAATCTACATATTGAATTAATGTCATCAGCAATGTTTAACATATCTTTTTTGTTTTTGAGAAATGTAGATATCAGTACTCCTGCAAAGCGTTTTTTAGTTCTTTTTTCTAATTTTTAGTTCCTTTGATTCTATTCGCACTGGTAAGTCTCGTATACACAAAACGGACAGATAGTGAATATATCGCTTTAACTGTAGTTGGCAAAACCTTTCATAATTGTTATCAACAATGCTCTAGAACTTTTGGTCTTCTTAAGTTGTTTGATCCGAGCGTCACTGCAGGTTTAGCGTACAACATGTTTTATTATCCTGGTATCAATGATGAGTTTATAATGCGTACTAAGTGAACATTTTCTTAAAGGGAGTTTCACCATACAAAGAATCAAAATGAAAATGAGATTTTTTTGTAAGATCCTCTTCTTTAAATCAACTACTCAAAAAAAATAAAACAATACTATCCTATTAAACATTATGGTTTGAGAATCTCCCAGATGACCATAACCCGATTTTGTTTATTGCATTGATGATTTAAATTTTCAATATTCTTCATCTTTGTTTTTTACTTTGCGTTCTACTTGTTTTTTACTTTGTGCCCCGCTGAGTATATAGCACAACATGTATAATAAACGAAGGTCTAGCGTACTTTTTTTTAGGGGACGACAAGTTTTGTTTTTAGTAGTTTATATTTTGTATATTATATAGTTATAGCTTTGTGTGAGGTCGGTACAAAAATATATTGACCTATAAGAAGTATTCTGACTGAGAACGACAAGAATTTAACCGTCGGCGAATTTACAGATACGAAGGCAGCGAATAAGGGTGCGATAGAATTTATTCGAGCAAATTCAAATTAACCGATGAAACTAAGATAAAACACATATTGAATGTCTCGCTGATTGATATGATGGTATAAACAGGTATAAAGAACAGCATTAAACCACAATAGTTCCTTTTTCTGGACATTGTTTAATACGTTAAATAAACTCATCATAGATACCAAGATTGAACTTTTTTTAACGCCAGACGCGCGTTTCGTCGACTCATCAGTGACGCTCGAATCACAACATGTAAAAAAAAACCAAATAAAGTACGAAGTTGAAGATCATTGGGGACCAAAACTTCCTAAAAGTTTTGCCAAATACAGCTAATGTAATCTATTGCTGAGGTAGAAAAGGCTTAGTATTTCAAAGAAAGTTTTGATAACAGTTAATTTATAATTATGAACATATCAATGATAACTCAAGTCAACGCGAAAGTGCTGACTACTAGGTTGGTGATACCCTCCGGGGAATTAAAACTCCACCAGCAGTGGAATCGACCCATTGGTTGTAAAAAAAAACTCATCAAAGATACCAGGATTGAAATTGTTTATTTACACCAGACGCGAGTTCCGTCTACAAAAGACTCATCAGTGACGCTCGAATAAAAAAATGTTAAAAAACAAATAAAGTACGAAGTTAAAGAGCATTCAGGACCAAACATTCCTGTAAGTTTTGCCAAATACAGCTAAAGTAATCTATTCCTGAGGTAGAACCGCCTTAGTAAACGATTCCTTGGCATTAATCTATATCTCATTCCTCTTTGTGCCTAATAAAAAAATAGAACTTCAAACATGTCAAAATGAACGAAGTTAATAGATTTTTAACAAAACTCTCAATGAAAATTTCAAATTCCATGATGAGATCTTATTCAAAATTAACGAAAAGCTCGAATGTCTATCGTTTCTATCAGCGATGATAATCTCTGTATCCAAGGGCATTTGGAAATGATAAGTTTGTTAGATTAACTCATTTGATTTTAAATGAACTGACAGTCTAAACAGTTCAAGAATACATACTTGCACTTTACTTTCGTTATTGTGATAAACTACTGATATATTGGCATATCTATGAACACATATATTTGTTTCCGTGTCTCGTTATCCCAATGTATTTAAGCAATGTAAGTAATCACAAAGCATTTTACTTGATTTATTAGGCATACATAGATATTTGAACAACCTATGACCGAGCCTTTTATCTCTGATAATTTATTTGAAAGAATTTAATAATTTTGATTTTCAACCCTTTGGTTATGCTTCAGATAGTATATCATCAACAAATAATGAAATATTGAGCAGGTAGAAAGGTTTTAAAGGGACAAAATGGATTAAAAAACTTTTGTTCGGGAAGTTACCGGAAGCTGTTACCCCATATTTTTAAACTGTTTACGGATTTATTCTATCGATACACTAAAGAAATTAAAAAAAAAATATCTGAATATTTCCAAATGTCTTGTCTCGAGTGCCACTTAAGCGAGAAATGAAGTATATCTTGCGTTCTCAATTAGCTATATCACGGTAGGTAAAGTGTCCGGCTAGGATCGTGGTTTTTCGAGTGAATCTGTCCATTTTTTTCGAGTGTAGATCGGGCTTTTTCGAGTGATAAAACATGCGATCAGGTCAATTAACTGCTAATTCGTAATTATAAGTTTTTAATTGACTACCCATCTTATTTTGAATACTTTACATGTTTTGAGTAATAAAGAAGCACAATTTCCTTGTATTTAACCATTAAATTCAGTGTTTGTTATTGTCTGGGCTTTTTCGAGAGGAACTGTGAAACAGTCCGGGTTTTTAAACAAATGGTCCGGGATTTTTAACGAAAATTTTAATAAGAAAAAGGGTATTCTTGACTTTAAAAAATGACTTTTCTAGTTTATAAATGTAATTTAATGAATGAAAATATCATATATTCTCACAATATTACCAAAACATATTACTTCTTTGATCAAAATTAACCTTTTTCAATTTAATGCAAATTTTCTGTTAGGAAAACGTTCTACCACAACATTCCAGTTTTAAATTAGAAATTATTGGAACTTTTATATAAAAAAACAGGTCTTTAGAACATAGTGCAGGCGACTCATAATCTTTTCAACTTTATTTTATGTTATTTTTGTTGTCACAGTTAATAATATTTTTCGTGGTGAATCTCGGAGTTTTTATACTATACGTTTTATGGTATACCGTTGCCGTCCATCGTCAGCATGTCGGATAATAACTCAAAAACGCTGTAACCAATTTATATGAAACTTCGGCGAATTGTTAATATCTATTGAGGTATCCTCCCTTTCGAATTTTATAAATTTTAGATTGTTTCCGAGTTATGGGATTTTATTAAAAAAAAACTAGAGGCTCTAAAGAGCCTGCGTCGCTCAACTTGGTCTATGTGCTGCTGTGTATATCAAAAAAAGGACACTCTTCAACATGAAAGACAAGAATAGAATTCATGACAAAATTCTCGGTTTTGGTGATCGTGACTTGTTTCTAGATCTTACTTTACTGAACATTCTTGCTGTTTACAGTTATGTCTATCTATAATGTACTTGGTCCATAAGTTTCAGAGGAAAAGATTTTA